TAAAAATTCTGAGTGCATTTCAAATAGTTTTACCCATTCTTGTGGTCGGCCTGAATGTTAAAAACTTTCGAAGTGCATTCCAAGTGGAAAATTATCGAATGGGATTTGAATAGTATTCTAACAGCACTGTGACTGCATTCTTAATATACTCACGGCATTCCGACAACATTCAAAACATTCTGATCACATTCGAGGGATATTCGAACTGGTACGACTTAAGGCCCCCATCGCACTTATTCGAAACCAGCAGGAATCAAGGTAGAACCAGCCAGAATGAATAAATTGAAAAATTCGTGCCATAATCGGGAGGGAATTTCAAATTGCAGTCAGAATATTCCGAATGAAATTCAAATGCCGTACGAGTGTGGTTTGACTGCTGGCCGAATACAGGCAGAAGTATGTAAGAAGATGCCTCGAATGATATATGAAGCGAACTCAAATGCAGTTAACTGCTCCCGGAATGGCTGCCAATGATGGTTTGAAATATAAAGAATTCAAACATAATGCAGCTGAAATACCTAAAATACTTAATTAAAATTACTTTCTAACATGTTTAGAATGTAACATGATGCACAAAGTGTATAAATAACGCCACAGGAATGGTAACTGATCATAATGTTTCGAATGCTGTCGGAATGCCGTGAGAATATTTAGAATGCAGTCACAGTGCAGTTAGAATACTGTTCAAATGCCATTCGATAAATTTCCTCTTGGAATGCACTTCGAAAGTTTTTGCATGACAAAAAACATTCGAGCCGTCCACAAGAATGGGTAAAAATATTTAGAATGCACTCAGAATTTTATAATGTTTTTAGAATGCTATTCGAATATCCTGGAATGCACAAAGGATTGTATTTCCGACGCCATTCTTAATCATTCTGCCTCTAGTGTGACGGGGATTTAATACTCCGCCAAAATGTTTCGAATGTGCCTCGGATGAGTTGAAATATTAATTTTGGCAGCAATCGAGCTACACTGGAGCGCCCTTCAAAGTATATTCTAAATATTCTTACTGCCTTCTTACAGCATTATAAATATTCCTAGTTTTCCAACTACAACTGCCTTTGAGAGCTACACAGTCGAAAAAGCACTCATCATTCCAGGCGAATTCAAGCGCATTCTGAGTATTCCAACGGTACTCTTACAATAATTAAGGTCAATTTGAAATTTTTCCCCCGAATGTGGTTCGAATTTTAAAAATCCTTCGTTCGGGCTCATTCTTCTTCATTCCTGCTGATTCCGAATAAGTGTGACGGGGGTATAATATTGGCGTTTGCGCTCTGGAATCTCAGGCTCGTGCACGGCAACGGCAATTATCGTTTATGAGGCCTGTCCTTGGACAGAACTTAGTGCTGATTATGGAGAAGGACCGAGTGGTCACAAACTTTTAGTGATAACTGATGAATACACACGGTACGTCATTGTTGAAATTTTGACCTCGACTTCAGCACAGAGTTATCCCACTGTTGGATAAAGTATTTGCGGAGTTCGGCATACCATCGGTATTAAAAACGGATAATGGGCATCCATTCAATGGAAATGACTTTGCGGATTATGCCGAGAAAACCGGATTCAAACACCGAAGATGACACCACTGTGGCCTCAGACAAATGGAGTATACGTAACAGAGCGTTTTATAGGTCCTTTGGAAAAGTCGATCAATGGCGCCATCGCAACGAAGTGCAACTGGAAACAAGCCATGAATGATTTTTTCCTTGATTATAGAACAACGCCTCATACTTCCACTGGTATTCCTCCCGCAACTGCTCTTTTCGAAAGGGATATCGGCTGTAAACTTCCACATGTGCCTTAAACACCAAACACTGATTCTAAAATCAGGCGTAATGATCAAAACAGCAAGAAAGTGATGAAATACTATGCCGATCGTAAAAGAAATGTTAAGAAATCTACGTTAACAGTGGGTGATACAGTTCTCTTGAAGAACACCAAATGCAAAAATATCCCAAGCACCATATGAATCCAAACCACTTACAATATGTCGTAAAAAGGGGACAATGATTACTGCGAGAGATAATTCCACGAGAAGAGAAATAACGAGAAACTCTAGTTTTTTCAATCGTTTTCATTAAGAGTTAAAGTTGACAATTTTATGAATCCAGTCGACGTTAAGTATCATATACATTTTGTGTTATTGTTTATTACATTTACTGTATATATGTTATGTGTTGTTCTGTCATAATATTCAAATTAAAAAAAAAGAAAAGAAAAGAAGTACTGTGATGTAATGATGTAATAAGTCACGTGATGTAGGTCAGAGGTCATGAGTGTGAAGCGGGAAGTGGGGATGCGACGTGGCATGTGAGACATGGACTTTTAATTCTGTAATAAATATTTTAATCTTTCATGCAAGTATGTTGTTACAATATCATGGTTACGTTCAAGAAAGCAGGGATTACAGAAGAAAAGTAGAGTCACCCAAGGGCAACGCTGTACGAAAAAATAATTTAATCACAGAGTCATTAAAGAATTTTAATCACAGAGTCGGATGACACCATCTTTCTTTGTAAGTACTGACTTAGCCAGTTCCTGGTTGTTTGCTCAGATTAACCCATTGCTCAACAAGAACCCCTGCTTCAGCTCATGACGGATAGTCGGAAAGCAGGAAACGCTATCTTTCTATGAGAAGGTACGACCAAGATGAGCTGGAAAAAAAGGCACCCTTTCTGAAGCCTAAACTTGCATATACACGTCAGCGGCTAGGTTTCTCTGAGGAACACCAAACTGGTGCGTTTTTCATAAGAAATGGCAGCCCAAAGGTGGACAGAACCACTCTCGTGTGCAGCAGATCCCATCTCACGGTCTTCAGCTAATCTCTTCCAAACTCGACATGAAGCACGAAAAATAAGTCTTTCATTATCAGAAAACCAGACATCGACGCCCCAGTTCACGGCAATGGAGTTGTCTGGTCCATCCCTGATGGCGTTTCTTTTTCTTTTGGGTCAAAACTGTTTTCCTTTTAGTATACCTTCTCTAGTGTATATTATTAAAGAAATACCCAAATGTTCTGTTCTGTAAGGTGTTAAATAGTCAATCATAAAACCTTTTAAACAGAAGTTTTTAGTGCCTTTCTAAAATCATCTCCTGAGCTTAAATTATTTAGTTCTAATAGTAACTGATTCAATTAATTCATACAACCACTTGTGTTAGATACGAATGTGTTATCTATACTAACCCTGACCCTGAATTTCACTGACCCTAATATAACCCTAACCCCTTGACTCTTAACTCAAACCCATGGGGTGGATCGTATTTAAATTTTCTACATCTTTCGTTTATACCATGACAGTGAAACCTATTATGATCACGAGTGATGTGCACGGACTTGTTATTTGAAGTGCGCCTGGTCTGGGGACTATTCCAGGGGAGGATGATATTTTAACACATTGTAATTTGTCTGCCAGATCATAGCAGGGGAAACCCGACACTGGCAAAGAGGCAGATATGCGATAATTACCCATCGAAGCCTGTTTTTAGCGTAATAAAGAAATTGATTTCAGTTGTAATACTTAACAGCGCTCTTTGTCAAATTATTCTCATCGGGCTGATCATCGTTGCTGAAATAAAATTGTAACAACCAACACTGGAAATATGCATTAACCTTCCATTCCCTTGATATCACTTCAGTAGTTGTGAAATAATGGAAGATGTGATGTGATGGTAACAATTTAAAAATAAGCAGAAGTGCACATCCATAAATGACTGTGGCTTACATGGCTGTATAACCGTTTCACATGGCATTGGCTCTTTTTATAAAAACCTTTGTCAGCTCTTTCAAAGGCAGTGCATCAATTTAATGTAGGATAATACCGATGAGTAGAGGTCTGGTATTAATAAATGATCATCGAACAGAGCAGCTTCATTTGTACATCACTAAACGCATTGCAAAATAAAGTCGGCAACTGCAAATAAACAAGTTTAAGTGCAATGTCCTCACTTTGTTCGAGAAAATCCAGTATCCGTATCTTTTTAAAACTTTTAAGTTTTGAAAATGACTATAAATCACATTTTCCAAAGGATGAATTATCTGTTTTAGGTGTGAACCAGACCACGGTGCCCAACATTTCAGCAGTTGCTGCCTGCGCCGGGCCAAGACTACATAACATCCACTTAAGTCATGAACGGAAGGTACCAACGGACTGCATAATACACGTAACATCACGTAGATAAAAAAAAAACATTTAACGTGGAGCCTCTTTCCTCGGGGAATGTTCATTATTTATATATATATATATATTGGCTTCCTGGATACTGGATTCCCCAATGTGCAGTCACCCAGGGCCGCTAACGTTAATGTGCTTGCCGAGAAACACTCTCTGGCAATCAATAAAAACCAATATGTGAGCAGCTGCGCACTGCGTATAGAACGTGTCCATGCCTGCTACGACTGCCGATATCTCCATACCCCTAATGTAAGTAACTCTGCCGAGTACAGACTGCAGGACACAAGACGCGTGCTTACTTCAGTACGTGGTGCAGTTGGCTGATATTGTAAAGGTGTCCAGGACTGCTTCTACTGCCGATATCTCCCATACCCTTACTGTAAGTACCTGTGCCTAGTAGTTTACTGCAGGACACGAGATCCGTGCTTACTATAGTACGTGGTGCAGTTGACTGATATTCTGTTACTGGCTGTGGAGAGGCTGCTGGTCTCTCTCGAACATTAAGCAAAATTTCGTTTATGTTACTTCCAGAAAGAAGAAAGTGCAGCTTCAACACTGGAATAGACGTGTATTATGCATTTCACGGATACAACGAAAGGGAAACTATAGAAGAGAATGTCTGAACATAACATAGATATATCATATGTTATCACAACACTGGAATAGACGTGTATTATGCATTTAACGGATTCAACGAAAGGGAAACTATAGAAGAGAATGTCTGAACATAACATAGATATATCATATGTTATCACAACACTGGAATAGACGTGTATTATCCATTTAACGGATTCAACGAAAGGGAAACTATAGAAGAGAATGTCTGAACAGGACAAATACAGTGACGTTGAAAGTGCTTGGTTGACATGTAAACATAATCACATTGGAGATACGGTGACAATCAACATAGCAGGCACACAATTCCGAACGCTGATCACCACTTTAAACAAACTGCCTCTTACAAGATTAGGGAAACTCTCCGCGGATTTCACGTACATTGCACAGCCTGTGCCAAATGAAATATATTTCGATCGGGATTCTATGTACTTTCGGCCCATTCTGAATTTTTACAGAACAAATATCTTACATTTCCCCCATGATTTGTGTGTTCCATTGATACGACTGGAACTGGAGTTCTGGGGGATATCAGAGTGTGATTTGGCGCCATGTTGCCAAGAAATTTTGGAGAACTTCGACATTCTCGAGAAGGAAAAGGGAAAATTAGAGAAAGAGTTCAATTCCTTCAAAACCATCAAGACAACGCATTACGAAGGAGGCTGCGAGTCTTGGAAACAACGAGTGTGGACATTTCTTAATGATCCCACTTCATCTCGAGGGGCCAAGGTAACGATTGGCTTCTTGCTTACTCTAACACATGATGTTTGACATGATGGACTCGGGATATCTTTTTATTAGTTATATCACCGGTTTCGTAGCAGTTGTGTATATTTCAGGTTATAGTAGTTGTGCTGATATATATATATATATATATATATATATATATATATATATATATATATATATATATATATATATATTGTTAGGGCAGCTACTCCTTAATTTATTGTGATCATATTTCTCTGTGATAACCTAGAATTACCCCCGGCAGGCTTGTTCTGTTTTCATTGCGCTTGTCTGATCATCTGTCTGTCTGTCTGTCTGTCTGTCAGTCTTTATGTCTGTCTGTTTTCAACACGTATGTACATATTTTAATAAAAGTTTAGGATAGGTCAGAAATGGGTTAGATCTTTGTTGTGCTCCAATAATGAATTATTCAGTTTATTCATTGATTTATTTTTGATGAGAATTGAGTTCATTATTAGTTAATAATAATGATGAGAATCGAATTATCAACAAACTTATAATAAATAAGAAGAAAAATCGAGCTTCCTTGGCGGAGGTCTGAGTTCTCTGAGTGCTTTCCTAGATGTTATTGTAGTTGTATTTGTTGTTGGTGTTGTTTTGACATCATTTCCCATCCGTTCTCTCCAAAACAACCGCCACCAAGAAAGATCACAAAAAGAAATGTCACGTTTTGTATCTTATTCTTTTGTTTACTTAAAAGAATGATACACATATGTATGTATATACATGTACGCTATTGCTTAAGAGGTTGTCACACCCTTAAAACAGCTTAAAAGAGACTCTCTCTCATTTCCCAAATAGCATTTTGATAACAAATGTAACCCCAAATCAAATCAACAATTGAGTAAAATATGTAATGAGATTTCTGGTAATAAAGGAGGGAGGAGGGGTGGTGGAGGAGGGGTGGAGGAGGAGGGGGGTGGTGGA